CAATTAAATTGCAAGCTGCTTTAGAAACACTGTTAATCTGAAAGATGGGATAGAAATAGTTATAATAAATACATCTTCATGGGTGAATTATGTTCCCATTTATTACGGAATGCAAACAGAAGCATTTGATAACTCTTTTTATGGTTCTAGTGTAAGATGCCGCACACACTTCTTATTTAAAAAAAATACATTGGGGGAGGGGGTTGATGCATGACAGATAAAAGGAGGTTATATGCTAGCTCAAGCATAAAGACATATTGGTTTCTTCTTTATTTAATGTAAAGATCTATATAGCTGTCACTGTAATATACTCTGAATGCAGTGCATTCAGACCCTTCCTCAGCAGAGAAGTTTGTCCAAATATTTTTGTAGAACTATATGCACTGACACTCTTAAAACAAGAGAAGTGCATCACATGTTTCATGACTTTTGCTAAGTTTTATATATCACATTTAGTTAACAGAGCACTTGACTTTGCTCATAGACAATCCCAGATCCAACCACCACCAGAATCAGATAGGGGAATTGTATTTATTAGACTGTATCAAATTACTGGCCAGTCAGAATAGACAATCATGTAAACATTTCTCTCTTTAATATCCATTTGTGATTATCAAATGCACCAGCTGTGTTAGCCAGCAATTTCCTTATTCACCATTTCTTATAAAGGTGAAAGCAATATATATCTCCCATGACTGAAAGTTCTCCTAGGATGTGAGTTTAACAATACCAAAAATCTGCAAGATATTCACCTAGCATTGTCAATAAGAGCAATGTACATCAGGAAACAATGTAGATTTTACACATACATTAAGGAATCAATGGTTGAGTTTCCACTACAAATGGTCCTTGCTTAGCGACCACTCATTAAGTGACCATTCAAACTTACAATCGTGCTGAATGAGAGGTACTTACAACCAGTTCTCAAAATTCCAGACATCACAGCATCCCCACAGTCACACTCATGATCATGACATTGCAACATCCCATGGTCACATGATCGCCATTTACCAGCTTCCTACAAGCAAAGTCAATGGGGAAGATGGCAGGTAGTCATAAATGGTGACCACATGACCTCCTCATTTAATGATCTGCGATGATTTGCTTAACAATGACAACTAGAAGTGCCTTGAATTTCCATCACTAAATGGCATGGTCATGTAACATCATGCTTTATGACTGTGTCACTTAGCGATGGAAATTCTAGTCCCAATTGCCACTGTTAACCAGGGCCTATCTGTACTCATTTCACATGGGAATTGATATCTGCTTTTTCCATGATTACCTGTACATAGGCTTTGTTGAATCAAAGACAGGTGAGATGTAGTGAAATAATAGAATTAGTGGTGGTCTCGTTGATAGCAGAGATTCACAGGGATCACTAGCATTAATAGCAAGATCAAATAGGACATTTTTGCCTTTCGCTCCAATACTGCTCTGCCTCAAATCTGTCCTTGACTCAATTTATTTTTTTCCTTCTATGAACCAGAATTTATCAAGTTATTTATAGGACTTACTTAAATTTTTATCCCAGGAACCCATGGGCACATTTAGAAGTTTCAATGCATGTTGAAAATGCCCAAGTGAGGTCTTGCCAGGCACATTTTAACCAACAGGCATCATACTGAGGATTAAGGATCTAACTAGACTGGGAAGAATTCATCTCCAGGTGTTCAGAGAGATAGTTTTCTTACTACCTGCAATCCAGATTCTCCTCCTCCTCTTTCTGATTGAACCTGGAACATTCTTAAGGCAGAATTCATGCTCTGCCTCTGTTATTTAGCACCCCTACATAAAATCTCCACCTTCTCAATTGATGACTGTCAGCTGAACTTGCAACTTGCCTCCTCTGCAACTACTTTGCATTTGTGATGCTGTGAACTGTCAGAAAATCAGTCTCTGTTGCCTTTTGGTTTGATACACAAGAGGCCATTTCACACATTTTCACACATTCATACCATCCTTTGAGCCCTCAGTGAGCAAGGGATGTGCCTCTGTGAAACCCCCCAACATCATGAGAAACCAAGCAAGGGGAATTTGGCTCCTTAACAAACTTATCTTCCTTCTCCAGTTGCCTGATTCATCTTTTAACCAGCTTTATTTGTGGTGGCACAAGGCTCTGTGTTGCTATGCATTTTTTCTCACCACCTCCACACCTGACATCCTTGGCAGAACAAAAGTATGCTATTATAACAGAGCACGAAATGGGCCTGAGTATTTTACTACTGACAATTTGAAAACAAAGTGAGAAGCTAGAAAGACTGCCACATTTTATCAGAGTGTGCAGTTAGCACATCTGGAGGAAGAGATATGAAGATCTTGTAATTCATTCAGACGTGTGTGTGTGTGTGTATAATAAACGATTTCTCCTCTGGCCAAAAACTCTTAAGGTGACAAATATCTCCAATTCATATTTCTTTTTCTTTTAATCTTTCCTCTGTTCATGATATAAGCTTCCATGCCAGTGAACAGCTTATTATGTGGTTTCTCTTGAAGCTTCCATTACAGCCTCACAGGAATAGATTAAGCTGAAAGACGGCAATTAGCCCACTCTCTCTAAACATACTTGGTTCTCTGCATGCAGCTTTAATCTGCGGATCCTACTGCTCTTTTGCTGAACTCTGATGCAAAGAAATCATATGTGAGATTGCACTGTCAGCAGTGCTATCAAGACATTTGTTCCAAATCTGGTCATTTTCTGTGAGCCCTTGTATCTTAATAACATTCCCCAAATAAAATTCCCCAAATTATCTTGAGGTCTTTAAACAAAATGAAATGCTCCTCAGATCCAGTTTTTCAGCATTTAACTGTCCATAGCAAAAATGCTACGTAGGTTTCATGAAAAGCCAGTGAATGGATTTTACCCCATTCCCCAACCTGGTGCTCTTCCCTTCCAGATGCCTAGCATTTCAGATTCTATAATCCCAGCTGTCAATGCTCGGTTGGGATGAGAAGACTGAAGTCCAGCACATCTGGAGAAGGTCCAGTCAGGTCGGAGAAGGTTGCCTTCCTGTATTTGGTGGTTGCGATCCCAAGTGTCATTCTTCTCATCTTGCAAAATTCTGTTGAAATCTCCCTCTTCCTTTCTCCAGATTAAGCAACTTC